GGGGCCCCAAAGAAGGGGGGGCCCCCGGGGGCCCCAAAGGAAAGTGCACAGGGGGGCCCCCCGCGTGGCTGCAGAATGCTGTGGTGCTGAACCCTGCAGTGAAGCAGTGTGAGAGAAGTATTTATAAGAAGAATTGTGATAAAAGAAAGTAAAAAGCAGAGGAAATAAGCAAAGAGAAGGAAAGTGTATGTGTGTATCTGTGTGTATACGAATGCATAAATATTAAAAAGAAGAGAAAAGAAAAGAAGAGAAAAGAAAAGATGGGAAAAAGATATATTGTTGCATTGACAGAGTCAGCTGTTGATGTTTCCGTTTGTGTAGAAGCAAATGTAAGAAATTCAACTTTTTCTGTTTCAGCACCACCGCCACCACCACCACCCATCGGCGCGGTGATCGTTCCGCGGTTTCTGCGGTATTTGGGCGAAAATTTCCCGGAATTTGAACTTATTTCGGGTTGCTGTATAAAAGACTTTGAAAATAAAGAAAAAAAACTCGAAAATGTACATAAAAATACCCCCTTTCCCGCAGCTTTCTCTCTGATCGTCGATGCAACCGCAGAGCTGCCTATACACCCCAGCATGGAAACCTGAATAACCTGTACAACATATTGAATTGTTGTTTCATTTATTTCATTTATTTTATTTATTTTTATTTATTTTATTTTACTTTTTCATGAATTAATTTAAACGTGATTTGTTATTTTGTTTTGGTGCTTCTGTTCGTGCGCTGCATTTCCTCTATTTTTCATCTTTTTTTTTCTTTTTTTTTTCTTTTTTTTTTGTACAGGCCGAGATTTTATTCGTGGTGGATGCTCCTTCTTCTTTGTTTTCTGAAGTATTACCTTTATTGCCTAATTTAAGATGGATTCACAGCTACATGGCGGGTGTAGATGGTATATGTATAGAGTTGAATAAAAGGAAACAAGAGAAAGAGCTGCTGGTGACGAACGCAAGAGGTGTATTTTCTTCTTCACTAAAGGAATATACAATTGCTGCTATTTTATATTTTGCTAAACAAATACCTAAATTAATTAAAAATAAAACAGAAAAAAAGTGGGAGAGATTCATCATGGGAGAGATAAGAGGACAAACCGTCGGCTTTGTTGGTTATGGAGATATAGCTAAAGAAATAGCTGCTGCATGCAAGGTAAGAAAAATATAAATTAATAAATAAATAAATGAATAAATAAATTAATAAATTAATAAATTAATAAATAAATAAATTAAATTTATACATATACAACAACAAGCTACAGAAAATAAAGAAACAAACAAACAACAAAAAAATTAGATTCAGTAAACACATAATTATAGGCTAAAGAGAAAAACATAAACTGAAGATCTTTCTCTTCTTTGTATGATATGATTCACTTTATATATATATATATATACATATATGTATATATATATATATATATATATTGCGGCATATATATATATATATATATATATATATATATATATATATATATATATATATATATATATA